TCATAAACCACAAATACTGGTAGATGATCACTAATATCATTTATAAGTAATCCACTTGTCATTTTGCTGTCAATAACATTGGTAAATATATTATCTATTAGTGTCGCATGCTGGGTTGTTATTCTACTTGGTTTTGTAATTTTTGGGTATAAACTGCATCTAAATATTGTGTTAATAAACTCCTTAGTTCTAGTGTGCTTGTTAGGATTTAACAAATCTATATTGAAGTCACCACATATGAACATTAATTTATGACTTATTGTCGAGTAATTCTCCTCCATCCAGTCATTAAATTTTTCTATGCTGGCTCCAGGTGCTCTATAAATACAGCTTATTACAACATTTTTCTTTTTTTCCAAAAGTAATTCAATCGTCACACATTCCAGAAGATTCTCCACCACCCTTGACATTTTCTCCAATTTTTTATAACAAAATGTTTTATCTATGTACTTTCTTGTCAATATTAGAACATTTACAAAATTTTAGCTAGAATCACATTGCTGTGCTAAGGTACTTTAAGGGATGTGTTGTCTGTTCACTATCTTGATTCTCTAATGCATTTATTATTCTTGCATTATTTAAGTCTAGGATACTCAACAAGAGAATTTCATTTGAAGAAACAGATCTTTTATTTCAGCTAAGGGATGCTGTGATTATATTATATCCCTATTTTGTGTTTTAGGCTGACAAGACATTTGAAATATAGATCTACTTTGAGTGGAAAAGAGGCCATCCTTGAAGCCCAAGGAGACCTCTGACTACTCTGTGAGCAAGGTTGTTGTCAGGTTGTTATTACAGCACCTCTGGAAACGCTCTCAGCTATCCAACACCATTTCTTGAAGACATGAGATTTTTTACATACATGTAACCTCCTGTGCCCACATGGCTTCATGCTGTACTCCCTCTAATTGCATTAAGATAACGTAGACAGCAAAGTGGCAGTGTCACCCAGAGCCTCCATATGCATCTTTATGTCCCAGCTTTTTGTACTGTACCCTGCCAAGAGGGGAAACGATGAAATGAGAAATGGGGGAGATGTGGGGAGAAGTCTGTAGATGGAAACACAGATTGAAAGGAAGTTTTAAAAAGTAATTAAAAAGATAAGAAGACTGTACAAAATGATGTAGGAGAGATGAGTCTAGGAGGAATGATGGAATAAGAGGAGATGAACACTGATGAAAATAAATAGAGAACATCAAAATTGGAAGAGAAGAAAGGAAACTGAGGGGGCTTTGATTAGATACATAGATTACTGGTTCAGAGTGAACATGTAATATAACTGCTCCTCTTCCACCCACAAATTGCACAGCATGAAACATTCAGCCATATTGATTAGAGTCCATTCATTATTAACCATATGGGCAGGCTCTCTGTGTCCGGTCACAACCTGACCACTGCTCACATAACAGATGGATACACAGGGCAATGCTGCAGGAGTATGGCCTCATGTATACACTCATACATACACAGCTCGGCCAAAATGTGCTTCCAGGATCTTAGAAATGCACTTGATGACTGTACATTTAATGGGTTAAAGATGTATGTACCAGACAGAAAGTCAGCATCTTCACCAGTCAATAATCATTTAAGAGTAGCACTGTTCTTTTATTGCACGATAGTCAGCCTTAGTATTACAGAGCAGTATTTTTAAAAATTGATTCACTACTATAGAAAAACATATTTGAACAAGTAACATGGATGTTACGTTTGTGTTATTGTTCGTATTGTAAAACTGTTTCTATCTCTGTCTGTGTCTGCAGGTGGCTCACCTATTTGCTGCTCCTCATCCTGGACCTGATTATCTGCCTGCTGGCCTGCCTGGGCCTGGCCAAGCAGTCTCGATGGCTACTCACCACGTGAGTCTAAAAGGCCCCATAAAACGGATCTATTTCCAAAGATAAGAGCTGCTGTTGTGTTTACAAAGTAAAACTCAGTCTGTTCAATTTTCAGATAAGCAAGGAAAGACAGAGACTGAATAGGCACTAAGTAAATCAAAGCTAACTGGGAGCCATCATAGGAACAAAACATTCATTTTGGTTTTGCCACAGTAGTGCTGCAGCTGCTGCTGATGATTCCAGATGTTACACAGCAAAACTGAATGTGCACATTGTAAAACAATGCTCCAGATTATCCCTAGTACATTAATTCATTGAACATTCATTTTATTAGTTTGTTTTGTTTTTATGTTCTATTTCCTGTTGCCTTACAAACACACTGAGAGCTTCTGCACCAGATTCAGGTGCCTTGTATGTTCAAATATACTTGGACATTAAAGATGATTCTGATTCTGATAACTAAAACCTGACCAAACTGACATTTTTCCAGTTTTTACTAGATGCATTTACTTTAATTTTATACTGTAGGTATAAAAGACCAACTGCATCTAAAAGACTGAATATTTTTAAAATTGGAGTTTCTATTGCAGGTGTTCAGCCACATCTGTGGCACCCTCTCATTCACATCTGGTTATCCTAGTCATTTTTTAAATGCAAAATAATCAGTGCTGTGCTTAACACAGATCTAATAAACACCACAGGAAAAAGAGGCAAGAAACAGAATGGGTTGAATTATTATGAGTTGGTGTAGCCAAAGAGAGCTTCAGTCAGGAGTTGCTTCTTATCCCTTGAGAAATCGCCAGTGAATGAGGCAGCTACATATTGGATCATGTCCTTGTACAAACACTGCCCTGCTAGCTGTGTTACTGTATATTTTACCATTTGCCTTTTAGCAGCAGTAGGTCGAACTTGCAGTCTCATTGTTGCCATCTCAGTGGCTGTGCTCTACAAATTGCACAGGGGAGCTGTGCAGACATTGGAGCAAAGCCACTTGATGTTATCGGCAGTACAACTTCCTGAAGATTGTTGTTCCAGCTTAACACTTGACCTGCTTTAAATGGCTTCAGATGTGAATTACTGTGCATTTGATAACAGGCACAATGAGCCTTTTATGGCATGCAGTTAATTATTTATCCTATATTTTTAGTCCTTTTTTAGATTAATATTTTTATGGATTTGTATCTTGTGCAAGTTACAAGAAAACAAGATAACACATAAATAAATAAACATGTTAGGTTTATTAAAGCATAACCAATATAGGAAGCTTTTTGGCCTTTTGAAAGGACTCAATAAGTGCTGAAATGCATTTGAAAACAGGATGTTGAGATGACAGAGTTATGGCATACAAAAAACCCCTATTCATCCTAATACATGTTGCACTACAAATGATGATACATTGCACATACATCCTGTACTGGATGTACAGTATATATTCACATGCAGTGGCTCTGCCTAAATTTAGTATTATAGAATAACTAAAGTAAATTCATCTCTAGTGGACAGTGAATTTCTTTATTGTTGTTTTTTTCTTGCTGCTGAAAAGGAGCTTGCACAAAGCATGAAATCCACCCAGGCCTCAATTCATCCTGCTGAGGAATTCTCTGTCTCCCTCAATCAGTTGAGGATTTGAGCTGTGCTGAATGTGTCTGACTAACCACAGACCCACCGCCCACTTCACCCTCCAACCCCTTTGCACATGATGAGTCAGTGTCAAGAGTATCTGCCCTGCCAAGAGATGCTCTCTTCCAGCAGACTGGAAGTGGCTGAAGGATTTTTGGGAGCTTAGAACTGGCTGTGCCAGCGTTAGCATGACAAGGAGATACTGTACACCCATGTACGAGAGAGGGAAAGAACACGCTGTCTGCAGTTTATATTAGGATTTCTTTTCTGCCTCTGGAAGGGCATTGCACTGCTCAGTTTTTCAATGGTAGTATGCTGCCAACAAACAAGTTTCCATCTACTGCTAATGTATTAGGGAGGTGGCAAAAATCTTAGAAAATGACATGTCAGAGCCTGAGTATGTAACACAGCAACTACTGGGTGAATTGAACCTTAAAATGTCATGATGTAAATACAGCATAAACCCATTTTTAGGCTTTATTTTGTGGATTGCAAGTGCCTGTGTGCCCAAGGAAACAGTTTTCCTGGGTGGTAGAAGTCAATGGATCTGTCATGACAAAGACCTACATCAAGAAGAACTGCTATGAAAACAGGCAACACAAATCAGTGGGATCTGGTTAAACTACAACAAAACAAAATCACTTCCTTAACAAGGAAGGAAATGAAAACTATATATGTACTGCCTGGAGGAATCAAGTACTAGAGGCTCTCTGTGGAAAGTATTAAAGCTGTTTTACAATGAAAGCCAGAGCTATTCATGTAACCTTGAATGTCCAAAGTACCAATTGACTAGCACTCTGTAAGCCTGAGGAAATGGCAGCTGAGTTCAGCAACTACATTTCCTCTTGTGCAGCTGTGGTTGCTGATCAAACATCTGCTTTTTTATACTCAAAGTATTGTAATTTATGCAAGAAGAGGCTTTTAGTTTGAAACCATATAGTATGAATGAAATGATTAAGCTAAAAGTCAAGAAGACCTCTAGTGCAGGCAGCAATGTCTCTTAGAAATTACTTTTATATACTTATTTTCAAAAGCAAATACATCAGTTTACGTGCTTATGATGCCCTGAAAACATCTGGGAAGAAATAAAATCCTATCTGCAAGTGACTGGGTCAGTGGCCAGTATGGGTACTTTGGTCTTTGTAGTATTTCATGTTGTGTTTACAGGTCAGCTGCTGCAAATCCAGGCCAAACCTTGTTGTTGGTTTGAAAAAAAGTAAAGATAAGAGGCAGGTAGCTTAATGATTTATTAAAACAGCAGCTTCCAGACCAAGAAGTTCAACCCCTGATGTGATTGCACAAAGCTTTGATATCACAGGTATAGTAATACTTAGTCACATATAGTCAGTAAATGATCAGGTCACATACAGTAATAGTGATGCAGTTATAACAGTAATATCCAGGTGTTCATTATCTTGATACTGTAGGTAGGAAATTCTGCATGCCAAAGTCAAAATCTATGAAAGAGTTATTATGATTTGCTCAAGACTCATGAACGCAGTATAATGAGGCGCGTCTCTCAGATGATGATTACAGGGCAGAAGCCAAAATTAGAACCTGAGAGAAAGATGTGATTATTATGACAAGCTAATTGGCATTGGCAGTGTGTTCCCACGTCTCCTGCTTTTCAGCTTTGAGAGTCCAATCATTTTCATTTCACTCTGCTTTAATTGACATATATTATAATGGTGGTTTGTACAATGATAATAGAGCCATCACTTTCCATATCTGTTGTAAAGACTGGATTTAACAGCAGTTTACAACTAAATCTTCCAGTTTTTTTCAGCTGAGGAGGAAATCTACTTCCCACTGATTTAATTCAGAGTGACTTGACCTCATCCTTGGTGAGTGCATTTGCTAACATCATCTGACCCGCTCAGTGACCTCTGACTTTTGCACTTGATGCTCTTTGCATCAGATTTACACCCGATTTACTAATCTTGTATGGCTCAGTGAATCCCCACAAAAGTGGATGCAGTCTTGTTTGGTTTGGATGTGACCTGGTGGCAACTGAGGGGGCAATCAGAGGGCAATGCCCCCAGTTGCATTGTGTCATAGTGGTTTAAAGAAGCTCATGCCGTATCATGCACACTACAGTAACCATCTGTCAAATAAGAATGGCTTGGCAGACACACAGGCCACTGGATCCCAGCCTTTTCAGGTTATGAGTCATGGTCCTTTAAAACAAAGCCGAATCTTCATGTGCCCCAGATCTTAGTTTAGCATTATAGTTTTAGGCTGGATCATTGACATACACCTGTGCATATGATGAACATGATGTCACTATTTCCCTCCACAATGCAAAAGTGAAGCCAAGATATTATGAACACTGTGGCTGGTGTCTTGGCATTTTGCAACCAGATTCTGCATAGTAGCAACCAGAAGTGGAGCGACGTCTGTCAAATCATCCGAAATGCACCTCTTCTTATGTCATCAAATAACTTATTAAAAGTACACTTATGTGAAAAATTACCACTTATACACACGTCAGTGTGATGGTATCTACCAAAAACGACCGAAGAGACCTCTGGGAAAAAAATCATCAGATTTATACTTTGTCCCATCCACTAACATGGAGGAGGTAGGATTTATAACATATACTGCAACCAGCCACCAGGGTGCTCAGTTTTCCCTATTATCCATTTGGCTATCTTGTGACCACTCAGCTTTATATTAGGGTCACTTTGGGAGCTCTGACTAATACAGTAGCTTAGGCTGACAACCACTGTATATGCAGAAATACTTTACCTTGTAACTGCATGCAAATATATGGTAAGTCACACTGAACCAGTAGGACAGAGGAGCAGCTTCTGCTTCTGTTTTCTTTTAGATTTTAAATCATAAGGAATCTCTGAGGCCTTGCTCTCTTCTTATCTCCTCACTCATTAAGTGCCAGGGCTGAGCAAGGGCTTTGTATCAGAGAGAGGCAGGTAGACAGACTATAAGATTGGAAAACTGATAAATAGAGAGCTAGAAGACAGAGGAAAGATATGGGAGAGGAGGGTAAGGAAATATGGAGAGTCAGAAATGAAAAAAACATAAAGGATAGAGAGGCTAGGAGCTCAGCCCAGTATGTTCTCAGCACACTGTGAAATGGATTAGCTCTAGAGAGTGTAGCATGGGTAGTGGTGAGCCTGGACATGCCTACACAAATTATATTTAAGCAATGGGATTGTATGCAAAGTGACACGGTGGTCAAGTTGGTAGTAAAGCTGATCTTTGATAGGGCTGGCGTTCATTCCTCTACCTTATTTTATACACACAGGCTGGCACATAACTGTCCCCTGCTGCAGAAATACACCCAGATCTTCACATGGCTTTATTGGCACGTGTCACTTATACGATGAGGTCATCAGGGAGGGAGCCATGTCCACCCAGGGGGCTGTAATTGATTGTTGGTTAACAGAGCGATTATGTTCTGCTGCTTGTTCCTTGGGTCATAAAGCCACACTGCTGCAGCTGCATGTTGAGGCCGCAGAATCTACTCCCACAGAAATAAATATGACCTCCGCCTTTTTCTGCTGATTACAGGCCAGTGTGATCACCTCTCCTGCCCCTCGTGTCTCACGCTGTGTTCTTTCAAAAGCTGAAGCCTTTATGAGAATACTTCCATTTGCATCACTGTGCTTCTTCTGTAGAATGATGATAACTTTTAGTTTTGTGACTTTCTTGAATTAGTTTTTTTTTAGATTGTCAATGCATTTACCATTGTCTTGTATTATAGATTTTGTCCTGCATCTGACAGCATGTTATTTTTTCCTTATGACTTATGAAAAGACAAACTTTAAGTGACTGTAACTGATATTTTTATTTGAATGTTGACCAGTGTTATAGTACTGGAGTCCAGGACTAGAGTCAAGTCAGACTCGAGTCCTGATCTTCAGGACTCCGACTTTTACTTGGGCTCAACCATTGACTACATTCAGACTTGGAGGTTGGAGACGTGAATTCAAACTTCTTTTTTTTGTAATAAGCCATAATAATTTGGCATAAGATATTAACTGTGATATTTATACTGTTCGCCTCTAAGTAGTGTGTGGGTGTCTGTGTGTGTTTATGAGTATATTTGTTTGGCTATTGTGTCACACACAGCAAGTAAACTTCTTTTAAAATAGTGAGAGCTGTCCCAGTTGTGTTAATGTAGACCTTGATGACTTGGACTTGACTTTCAGGTAACAGGGACCCCACTTGGACTCGACTTTGACTATTGTTTGGTGACTCAGACTTGACTTGAACCTGAGCACTGGGAACTTGAGACTCGACTCAACCTCGAGGGTTAGTGACTTGACACTGGTATTGACACATTATGTAGGTTTTACCTTTTATTTCTCACCCATCTGTATTTTTCTCTTGGTGGAGAGCAAAACAGAGCTAAAAGAGAGTAAATATTGGATTTACTTTCATTAGGTGAATGACTGCTAACAGTGCAGTTATTATGAATTAGTTGAAGTCAGTGCAAATGTTGCCTTACATTTGTAAATAAGGAACTGCACACCAGCTTAATAGGTGTGTCAGTGTTGTGTTTTCTGTTGTGTTGCTCAAGGGGGATTTGTTTTCCCTCTGTAATAATAGTGATAACAGTAAGGTCTAGACCTTACTTTGTGAAGTGTCCTGAGATGGCTTTTGTTGTGATTTGGTGCTATACAAGTAAAATTTGATTTGATTTGAATCCAGCAAGTGTCCAACAAATCAGTTAGTACAGGTTTAAAGGTCACATCATGAGTACTTTACTTGTTTTCTATAAATCAGTACTTATTATTGGATCCAAATTTACCTTATTTGGGTTAATGACAAGCTGTCCCAAGCTGTCTGGTTGCTCCAGTTAATCTCCATTTGATTCAGTGACTATTGTAGTGGTTAGTATACCGAGTTGTACTGTGAACATGCTGTTGCTTTGTGTCCCTGCAGGATGATGGTGTTCGGAGTGCTGACACTGGTCCTGAGCTGGACTTCTCTGGGAGTTGACCTGGCCACAGCTGTGGTGAGCCACTTCATCCCCTCCCCTCCGAGTCTGCGCAATTAAAACTAGCAAAAACTGGTCTTCAATAAATTCTTATCATGCCTGACGGTGATGATAAATTGCTTTAACTACATGCACACTGCACTTGAAAAGTGTCTCTCGATGTGTTGGGGTAGAGGAGAAAAGATGATTATATTGTACACTGTTGCACATATGCTTGTATTTGAATGCATTTTGCATATCTGCAATGTGTCATTACAAAAGGACAGGAAAGTAGAGTAGGAGAATAATTACATCACGGCTATTTTTTCACAGACAGTTTCAGGATACAGCTGAAATTTTGTGCATTTGCCTTGAGCTTTTTTATCAAAACATATTGTATGTATTAGCTGCATAGCTAATTATCAAGGGCCTTTCTAGGCTTAATTTTTTTTTTTGCTTACATTTTATTAATAAAATGTGAGCAAGCTATAAAGAGTCCTTGCAGCCATGCGGCATCAGCCAAAAAGGTATTAGCACCTTCTCTCTGCCCCAACTCAAATTCTTCTGACCTGAGTTTGTCTTTCTGACACCTTGTGGTCTTTTAATCTCTGCTGTCAAACAGCACACATCTAAAAATAGACTAGCAAAATAACAAATTCCCAAACCCACACTTTGCCAGCATTATTATACAAGCCTGGATAGCTTGATTTGAAGTCAAGGATTATGGCAACAGGAATCCAATTGCAGCTTTTAAAGCTTATCTTACTGAATAGGTGATTCATTTCAGCATTTTGCTTATGGTTCCACGGTGAGAAAAGAAGAAAAAGCACACAAATGTTTGAATGACCTAGAGGGAAAACAGAGAACCATCTGAAGAATGAATATAAGATGGATGCACACTGGTGTTTGACTCACCTGCCTCAGGCGTGTGTGCTGTTTTTCTCAGGTTTGTTGTTGGATCCTATGTTTTGACTCGGGGCTGTAGAGGATTTTTAACATGTGAATATAAATTGGAGGTAATGAGCATCAGGTACATGCACCAGTTTAATACCTCCGCTCTCTGTGGTCTCCAACAGTTGAAGTTGTGGTGGAATCCTTTGATACCACAGGGCAACTATATGGTTTGCAGAAAAAAAAACCTGCAAAGAAACGATGTTAATGCGTCACACAGTATAGAAATTTTCAACAAACAACATCCAGATGATGTAGAGTTCAGTTAAACATCAACACTATGACATGTTATGTGCATGTGGAAGTACAGTATATATGTAAAAGATCACACAATAACATAACACAACACCTTATTGATCCCTCAAAGGGGAAATCAGAGTGTACAGCAGCATGTACACAGTGAAGGCAGAGTATCAGACAGTGTATCAGACCCAATACCTGGTACTGGTATCGGTGCATCCCTAGTGGATTAAATTTTCATATTTGTAGTGTGCAAGTGGGAAGTGTTGCCTGCAGAGGAACAGGACAGGAGGACACCACAAATATAACCATCCATCGTTTCAGGACAGTGAATATCTGCAGCCATCTATCTTTTTGTAAACACTATACCATGGCACAATTGTTTGTCTACCCTGACAGAAATGGTCAGGGCAGGTCATCAGAATCACTGGAAATGATCCTGTGAAGACCATAATTAGCTATATTAGATTTCATGTGGCTGGAGCTGTTCAGATATTTTACTCCTGACTAAAGTTGGTTTTGTTATAGCTTAAAAATATCTCTTTAATTCTGCCTTTGTTCTTTCGCTCTCCTTGATGAATGTGGTGGCTTTATAGAAATTGTTTTGCAAAAATAGTTTTTACAGTTTGTCCTCTCAGTGTGGTACAGAATAATTTACGTCGGCCTGTTATGTAACCTGGCTTTTACGTGGTGTTTGGGTGAGACCTGGCTGGACTGTGTGGTTGTCATCTACTGGGTCTTTTCTCTGCTTGAGAGCAAACATCACTGCAGCTTAAAAAGGCCTCATAAAGGCTCAGACAGGGATACAAACTGCTGTGGTCAAAGCAATTACATGGACAATCTGCACTGGCTCCTCAGACATCATTTCTCTGTGTGTATAAATGTGTGTGTTTTACCCATGTCGGTGTATCCTCTCACTTATGCGATAATGTGAGTGTTACAGGTTTATGTACAGTAGAATGGGCTCCTTCTCTTTATATAAGGATTTTGTTTACAATGTACTTTTTCATGCTTTGTGCCCCGGTACTCCACAGAGAGACAAGAATATGTGTTAACCTGCTTGTATAAAGCTTATGCAGACAGTGCATGTGTATGTCTGTGGAGGCACGGCACTGTGACTCAGTACAGTCTGAGTAAACTCCAAATGCTACAAGATAACCTGTAAAACTGCAGTTTTCATTTTTATGACTTTATTTTCTTATTTCGAGTAATGATGCAACTCAGACTCCTGACATGATGCGCAATACAAACACCACTCATACATTTTCTTTTTCATAGACTAATTTTGAGGGGATTTCAGGGGCTGCAGACTGTAGCCAACCCTGAACAGGTCATCAGTCCTTGGCAGGGCTAAAATAAATTGACATTCACACTCTCTGTATCAGCTGGCTTTAATGGTTTCAGACTGCTGAGGGGAACTGGAGCACCGGGGGAACTTGTATGTGAGCAGGGAGAGCATGGCCACTCACACAGCCCAAACCTGCTACTGCTGCCATCCAAAATTGTCTGAAAATCACTGTAGTGCCTTCTTCACTCTCACCAACCTCCTCCACCCTGACTGAGAGCAAATCTCTTGGCAGTGTATTTGCTTCTGCAGCCTGACTGCTGTGTCCCACTTTAAATGAGAATGAGTGTGGTCGCTGTGCTCTACTGATGTCAGACAACCACCACCAGGGCAACAGCTAACCTGCATGGATGCTGGTTGTCAGATGCTTGTGTTTGTCTTTCTAAAGATCTAAGGTGATGTTTGTGTCTGGATGGGAACCTTCATATTTTGTGAGTGTGTAGGCTACAACTAGTGCCTTAGTGCACAATGAATTAATGCATAATTCAGTGCTCTTAATTACAGACAGTGAGTAGTCAGAGCTTTGCATTCTTATCCCTTCATGAATTCTAACAAACCTGATCCTGAATTGCAGAACCTTTTGTTATCTGTTGTTTTTAACACACTGGCTTGGGTTTGCTGAGGAACCTGGTTTCCTTCATCTCATTTGTGTGTGAGGCTCATTAGCGTACCCCCCAGAGAAGGTTAAGCTACACGCAGAATGTTTGGCCTGAGCCTTGGGGGACATTTAGCAATCAGACAACACAGTTTTGAGAAGACGGCCACTCCTCACTCTGGCTACTTTGCTCCGGCAGGTTTCTTGTTAGCACTGTGCGATGGAGTGAAAGTGGTTGAGTGACAGAATTTAAAAGTATTCCTGTCTAGACTTGTGTAAGTGGATTATAAGAGCAGCCTCTCTGCTTTATTTTCCTTTTTGTGTCAAAAAGTAGTGAAGATGATGGTCATCATTCGCATTATGCTTTGTCAAAAAGACATTAGATGTGTTTATGAAATTTTAATGCCAGTATTAGACAGTAGTAGTAGAGGTCTGACACTGACTTGTTCCTTCTCTGGATTTCTGTTTTTAATCTCCTTATTTCAGCTGTTTCTTTGTTGTCTGTTCACTGCTCTCACATGGCTTCTGTTTTATTTCAGGGCACAAGTGATTTCTGTGTGTCCCCTGACAAGTACCTCATGAGCCAGACAAAGGGCGTCATCAGTGCTGGTGAGCGTCAGTGTGAATAATATCGATTAATTAAACATTAATGGAGTTGTAATTATGAGAGCATAAAGCTGTGAACATAACACTAATTGTGATGATGGTTGAAAATCCATTAAAGCTTCTTCTCCCATTTGTGTGCCCCCCCACACCAGATATTGTGCATTACTATCTGTACTGCAACCACACTCTGTCCAACCCCTTCCAGCAGGTAAGAAATCAGTCAGAAGCTGAGCTCCTGCTGACTGGTGACTGATATAACAGAGTAAGCACTGATTTTGTGATTTACAGACAGACGTGTTGAGGTTAAAACAAGGCTAAAGCTGGTTGAAAGGGAGCATTCTGTAGACGTCAAGGTGGTCCAAGCTACTTTTGAGGACGCTGCAGACGTGTCATCTGTAGTTTTAAAATTCAGCAGTTTAAATGCTACAATTAAAGGCTCCCCATGTTAGAAATTCAGTTTGTTTAGACACAATGTGCCTAAATTTGATTTAGCCCAACAAAGTAAAGAAACAAATGCCCAGGGATGAGCTTCAGCACTGGAGCCTACAATATACCTTTATTTATAAAGTATAAAAATGTTTAGATCCCTTTTTCATTTAAAAAAGTACATTGGAATTTTCAGTATATCAATGCTACACAAAGATGTTTGACTAAATTTAATCAAATGTATTAAAAAAAACTCCTGATTAAATGTTTGGTTAAAGAATACATACGAAATCATCGAATACCAACCAGGATTCTTGAAAGCTTCTTTGGTGCAGCTTAATACTGGACCACCAGAATTTTATTCCTTATAGTGTGAAGGTGGAATTTAAAGTAGTCCCTAACTACATATTGAAATATAGCCATTTACAGGCAGTTTAGATAACAGTTAATAAAACCTTATTGTGACCTATAATTCACTAAGTCTCTGCTCTCATGCCTCATCTCCTGTCAAGCTCTTTCTATCAAGCCACGTCTGTCGGATTTTCACCTTACAACTCTAGCAGAACACCTACTGTACAAAATTGCACTCAACACCACTTATTTTTCTTTCTTCCTCTGTACCTGTATTTCTTCTTTCCTGAGCATGCATCAAGCAAACAAGCCACAACATGCCAAAGTGATACAAAATCTCCAATAAAAAAGCTATTAAATAGGAGATTAGATGAAGCAATTTGATGAATCTTCCTCTTCCTTGTCTTCTGAGCTTGTATGAGGACCTCTGTTTAGAGAAACAGAGTCACATCACTGACTTCACTGCAGACATCACTCAGCAGTAAAGTCATTTTCTGTAAACTCTGGATCAGCTGAGCTCAGATGTTTTTTCAAGCTCTTGTAGACATGCCCTGAGGATAACAAGAGCCCAGCAGCAGAGGGCAGACAGCAGTCACCCCGCCGGGTAAACCACGTCAGCACTATTTTCTCTATCCAACAGGTGCAAAGTTCACAAGCAAGTTGGCAGATACAGGGACTCACCCTCACTGACAAACATACAAGCTCTCTCTTTCGCTTTCTCTCTTATGTCTCTCTCTCACTCATGCATTCTTAGCGTGAACTGCAGCGCTGCCCTGTAGTTTCACCCTCTGTGCCCATGTACTTCATTACTCTGGGCATCACTCCTGCTTCAACTCTACTTCTTCCCACAGCTCTTTTCCTATTCTTATCATTGTCAGCTCTTCTTTACTTTCTGTCCTCCTCCATCCAATTTCTCTGACCTATTTTTTACTTTGTTTGGCTCAGAACAAGCTAAAGTTAAAAACTCTGATCATTCCATTACATTCTGCAGCAGAGACCAGTTCGACCATGGACACTCATGCAGATCCAGAAAAAAAAATCTGTCAGATCAGTGCAAAGCAATTACATTTATGGATAGTTGAGGTAATTGACCATATCTTGTTTCAATTGAACATTGTGCCATAGGCCAGGAGGGGTTCACGCTTCTCTTGCTAGGTTGGCTGAGTGTGAAGACAGTTTTACTTTGGAGATGTGACAGATTAATCCATTTATAGCTGAGCCTGAAAGTTAATTTAAGAAAAGGCACAGGAGAGAAGGCTCTTTCAGGTAGGATGTGATTATCCAGTTATAGTGCACTGTATGTGCAGCATGTGGAGGCTTTTTGTGCCCTCTGTTGGTGAGAACATACATCTACAAGACTACAATGACTGAAGCACACTTTGAATGTTGGAATGTGATGATGGGATGTTTTCAATTTACTGACCTACAAAGCCAAAAGGCAGTAATATTTGGTTTAAACTGAGTTAAGGCCAGAATCTGACAGAGAAATGTGCAGTGTAGAATTTAGATGATCTATAAAACAGAGGTAACAAGCCAGTTTACAATAACACTAACTAACTCCAGCTAGCAAATTAGCTTCAGCTAGCTGTGACCAGAGCCCTTAAGATAGGAGAGTTGCGACATTGAGGGGGTTAAAAACGGCTGTGGGTCACATGACTCATATAGTTTCAAACAGCCTTGAAAACCTTTATTTTTTTTATGCTTCATTCGACTCTTCTATTATGCTTCTCCCCTTTATGATTCTTTTAAGGCTCCATTGCTTCTTGTTTGCAGCCTCTGACCATCTTCCAGAGATCTCTGACCACCATGCAGATCCAGATCCAGAGTCTCCTGCAGTTCGCCGTGCCTCTCTTCCCTACAGCCGAGGTACCTCCCATATAAACACCAAGCTGCTACTCTTGTTCTGTAGTATAAGTGAGTTGAATTATTTAGGGGTAGTATTTGAAGGATGTTTATGTACAAATAGGTGCTGAAGTATTTTTCAGTGATACGGTGACCTCTCCACAGAGAGACCTACTGGGTATCCAACATTTGCTTAACTCCTCGGAGGCCAGTCTGCACCAGCTGACAGCCCTGCTGGACTGCAGGGGGCTCAACAAGGTTGGTTCACTGCATCCTAATTGGCATTACAGCAGCACAACCAGGTCAACAGGGGAGTAAGTGGCCATGCAGGATTTCAGCATAAAATTGAAGGAACTGGGAAAAGAGCAGAGCAGAGCAGAACACAACAGAAAGAATCTGCAATTTAATGAGATGAGCTTCACAGAGCAGTGACTTTTCTTAGTAACAAGTATGTCTAGGACTGACTGCCTGACTGCAGTGCAGTTTATATGAATAATGTTGAACTTTTGACTGAATGTGCATGATATGAATGAACTATAATTTACCCTGGAGATGACACACATCAGTGCTCTACTGTAAGTGCTTTTTCTTCTTTGGTTTGTTTTGTCTGCCATGGCAGCAAGAATCCTCTTATACAGGCAAACTGCATTTGTTGTTTACAGTATGCGTTGCTTCTGACCTCTTTAGGACTACCTGGATGCAATGGTGGGGGTGTGCTATGACGGGGTGGAGGGTGTGCTCTACCTCTGCCTCTTCTCTATCCTTGCAGCCTGTGCCTTCACTGTCATGCTGTGCGCCATTCCCAGAGCATGGAGACAAATTGCCTGCAGGTCAGTTTGTTCTCTGCTTGTCTGCCTGCCTGCACCCTTATTTTCTCATCCTGCATCCATCCATATGCAGGAGTACTGTACAAGCCAACACATGCATGTGCGTGAATTTTTTTTTGTTTTTGCAATTGTACAAAAGTCTAGATGTTTTGCTAGAAATGTAAATTTTGTTTTGTGAGTGCAGTTTTACAAAATACATTCATAAATTATAATAATAATACCCTGTCTTGAATTTTATTTAAAATATCACAAATTTTCTCAGAAAATCTGAATTTGTTTTTAAGATCTGTAGGGTCAGATTTCTCTGTTATGTTATGTTAGTGAAGTAGCACGTACCTTAACTGTGTCCATGAGCTGCGTCGACTGTCTCCTCTGCTGATGAGTTTCTCTTGGCATTTCTCCACACTTTTAGGGAACGTGATTACGACGACATCGACGAGGAGGACCCGTTCAACCCACAGGCGAGAAGGAGAGGCTCTCAGAACCCCAACCACACCAACATGCACAGTTTCTGTAGTTACAGCAGCAGCATGGGCAGCCAGAACAGTCTGCACCCGCCTGCCCCGGCAGTCTCCAACGCCCCGATGTCTGAGTACATGTGAGTGAACAGAAATAATGTATGGAGTAAAAGGTCACCTCTAATCTTTAGGTATTTAGAATTCCTACAGCTTCTGAATTGCTTCCTTCATTCTTCCTCAGGAACCAGACTGCTCTGTTTGGGGGAAACCCACGGTATGAGAACGTGCCTCTGATAGGACGAGGTTCTCCACCCCCTTCGGTGCGTTGCGTCCCAGAGGTCAAGTCCTTCTTATGATGTCACCTCCCACTGAGCTAACAGACCAATTTAGCCTATATCACACAGGAAGTTGTGACTCGGCTCTTAAATTTCACCTTTTCTCTACATCACTCAAATGTTGAGCACTGTGCCTTTTTCTGTCCTAACTTACAAGAGGCTGATTTACAGTACCAAAGTAAGAAGAGCAGAAGTAATGCAGTTAATATTTAATCACGAAGTGAATATCTTTTAGCTTCTCTCAAGCCAAATTCCCAGGAGAAAGTGACATGGGTCTTAACCCATAAAGTCGCTCACTGTTGACACTAAATGTTTTCTTCCTCACTGAATCAATTCACCCTCGGCTGGGCCACTTGTCTTCTGTCATATGACGCAGATAAAAATAGAAGCATTTTAAATTAAATTTTCACTGGGCACAGCTTCTTAATAGCTCCTGTGGGAGTACAGTATGTGTGTGATGAACTAGAGCAGTTAAATGCAATCTGCAGGCATCTAATCGTAAGCTCAGTGTTTTTATAGTAGGATAAAGTACAAAAACAATGCTATGTTAGTCAGGTCTGTCCAGTTTTGCAGATAGCAAATAAACACCAAATACATATTTTATTTCTGATCAATTGCATGTTATTTGCATAAAGATTCAAATTAATTATATAATAAGAAGGTCTCATTAACTGTAGCTCCGACTGGGCTTTAACCAGAAAATATGATGTTCTGTACTTTGCCTTTTGATTTCGTTCAAATTAATTCCTGCAAGTAATGTATAATTAAATTCTCCCGTATGACTGCAAATGTACGTAGTCTTCAGCTAACAGCTTTTTTGTATATTTTTGTTTGTTTGTTTGTCATGTGTATGTTTGTTTGTTTGTATCTTTCATTTCTATATTTCCTTTTTTTAATCAACTTTTGGAGATATACTCTCAGCAGTATAGAAACCGAGTAAGTCTTTTCACCTCTTCCTCAGGATTAACTCCCTCACTTTTCCTCTGTTGCACCTCAGTCTTCTTCCTCTCCTTCACCTGTCATCTCCTTGTTTGGTTTCTGTGTCATTTTCCTGTTTGGCATGACTTTCAACTCACAAGCTGTTGTCCTATTTCTAGACAGTCTTTCAGCATCAGTGAGGGATGCCTGTCCCTGGTGTTCTCACAGGGAGAACTGCAGTTATAGCCCTGGATTTCCTCACAGTTAGCCCCTGTGCATGCAGTCCTTCTCCAGTTATTCAGCTCTATAGCTTGCACTGCCATAAAGTGTTAAGCACCAGGCGTTTTGTAGCACTAAAGAATTCATATCATCAGGGTATCAACAGATCTAAACTGGTGTTAGTCACTGTTAACACTGAAGTAACTGAAATAAGCAAACTGTACATTGAAATAGTAAGGGACTGATTTGTTTGTTGCTGCCCCGAGGTAGCATAGTTGATATGAATTAAAGGAAAAATCCACTGAAAATCAGTCTTTATAGCTTCAGATATTCCACTTCTGAAGGTGACACATAGGTGTTTGTAGCTTGCTCTTTTATGGAAGACTAAACTATAGAGAGCTTGGATTAGCTACTGCTACAGTTATGGCTGGGTATTGTCTGAAATCTTTACTTACTAACACCAACACCATTCATGAGTTTGTGGAATGACTGCAAAGCAATGAACTCTGAGAAATATTCATATTTTTCTCCTTTTAACAAAAAAAAAAGTTTTCAAATGCTATGAACTGCAGTGCAAGAATTTTGAGTAGCTAAAAATACTATGAAACTGGCAAAATTTTGATTGCTTTACAGTTTTTTAATGTAAGATTAAGAACCTGATGAGGCACCTGATGCCAGGTTTGGCACATGATGAATTTGATACTGCTACTGGTTTATTTGGCCAAGAACTGGGGTTCACTACTTGAATCTACTTATAATACATTTCAACAGAGACACAGAGTTTCTCTAAAATATGGACAAAGTGAGAACTATATGTTCCAAAGTCAGGTTTTCAGTGGACTGTCCCTTTACATCTTTTTAGCTGATGATTACCTTGTGAGATCTAACTGTGTTTTATTGTTCCTCCACAGTACTCCCCCACTATGAGGGCCACCTATCTGTCCATGACCGAGGAACAGAGTAGACACTATGGGAACAATTTCCAAGCATAGACTTTATCAGTTTGAGGAAGAAAACCGCAGCACACATTCATCAAGACGGGAGTGTGTGGCTGTTCCAAGCATCACACAGAATAGTGTAACATGTCGTTTGTCCAGGACTCGGGACAGTGGGACATATCTGTGCTGTTCTCTGTGTATTGCGCACACACACATTTTTAATCACACTTTTTTGCCCTAAACCCTTTGTGGAGGACCTTGCTAAACATTTCTGACACGTGCTGTGGAATTTAACTTGCTCTTAATCTGTTGTGTTCCTTCACATGTCTACACAATTTTTGGAAAATAAACACTATATATAAACCTTGTTGTCATGCACTGAGGGGTAAAGGTGTGATGTGTACCCGAGTCCTTCAGGTAGAACGTATAGATGACTAATAACTTTGATGAAACAGGGAAAGGAAGCAATTTTGAAGATCCATTTTAATTTCAGTGCAGTAAAGCTCAGCAGCACATTCCTTTTGAAAGAGGTTTTTCCTTCTAGAATCCTCCAGATCTTTGAAACAATGGTGTGTGTTACATTTGACAACGTACATGCAGGTCTCCAAAGAGGAAAATGTGGACGATGTTGATTTGAACATGTCATATTATTTTCTATGTCTCTATCTGTATCCTGTTATTTCTATGCTTGACAGCTGTGAAGCACAAACCCAGCACTGGAGGCACACACTGGGAGGTACTGTTGAAGAATAATTTATTTACATTCATACACACAGATACACCTGCGAGTGAAGCTTTACGTTTTTATGGAGATGAAACTACCTTGAGACCATGGCTTCTGTAAATAAGTTGTACAATAACAGACTGTTGTCTTACTCTGATATTCTTTGGTGTAAACAATGTGGGGTTTTTTTAAATATATTTTTTCTAGTTTTTGTGGTGATGTCACATAGGATCACTATTTTTCATATTTTTAAGAGCCATTAATTTATGTTCTCTGCATATCTAATCCCACTAATACAATAAGGTTGTAATTTCTCCTTGGAAGCTGTGCTGCTCTAACTATGATTAATGAGAATATTCAGGTATTAGTTTCACCAGTTCAAACCATCCAAACGCTACATTTGTACTGCCTAACAAATCCTTTCTGTATGGATTTAATACATGCAGTTTTGTTGATTAATAATTACTTTTAAGTGTTTTGGCATGTTATACTGGCACTGAGAGTGGTGCTTAATTTTGTGTGAGACCCCAAATTGTGGGGTCTAATTATGAGGTGAATAAACCAGTTTTGAGTAAAGGTTGATGTGCCCTTATTTTGTTGCTTGGGTGCATAATCATACAGGGAAATACATTAGGATTTAGGGGTGCACTGAACCGAAACAACTGCGTGGACTTCTTTTAGCCTTACTAATGTATTTTTAAGACATGCTAATCTACTGAACATACATTATATAATCCATACCAACCCACACTGCTGTTTACACACTGTATTGTTCAAAATGACTGTAATTAAAGATCTTTTTGAGAAGATATTTGTTCTAATATCTATCATTCATGTTTCAGATACAAAACAGTCTTTCACAACATTTGCATCATCTTTTTATATATTATTCTCCATTTTGTGATAGTAGTACTGTTGTAGGTAATGCTACCTTTAAGTATGAATCTACAATACATCCTAAATTGAATATAAAACATTTCATCTTAATATAACACTCCTTCATGCAAACAATTTAAATCACCAGTGTCACCATGCCTTTTTCGATGTACTCTTTTTCTGATGTGAATATCAAATCACCCTTTGTTTATAACTGACCAACCAACCATGACTAACATGAGTTTGTTTGAAATTGAAAGTCCAGTCTGGTTGTTCTTTTCTCTTCCAGCAGATGTCAGCATAGTGTTGCACAAGGTGCTGCTCAGTGGAAGCAGCATTAAAAAAAGTTGTTCAGCTTCACTACAACAGAGAATATCAGAATGTTTCAGGTTAGTGTGGAACACTTCAAAAGGAAGAGGTTGTTTTTTTTAATGCATGCACATAAGTAAAGTTAAACTAAAACACAGGTGATTGGGTAAGATTCCATTTGAGAAAAATATTTATATTGCTTATCCTGAAATTGTCATAGCCACTACTCCCTGAGCACAAACACATACTGTAAATCAGTCCAACAAGCTAGTGTGATGATAATGACACAGCCTAAATTACATCTGATCTGAAAACTGAGATATTTCAATTCTGTCACAATTTCTATATCCTAAAGAAGTAAAGTAACTTGCATTCTTACTAATCCTACTGTATCTCTGTATCTTAATGTTGACAGCTAATATGGCTGTACATACGTGTAGCACCAGGATGGTTAGCAGACATTGCGGAGAGCAGGTGCTCAAGTACAAAAAGGCCACCTATCTCAACAAAAGTTATTTATTTATTTAATTATATATATATATATACACACACACACACACACACACATTTCGAGCTATCAGAGCTATGAGGTAAAAGCTATCATGCCTTCAATAATACTGTAATTCATAGCCTAATAATTGTCTGATGCTGTCAGGCTTAATTACCTAAGTTTAGTTGAACCACAATGAAAAGTACTTAAAAGCTAAAATATAAAATTAACAAACTACCCTGCAAAAAGCGCACTTATCAAGTCAGAGTATAAAAGGGCACTAGTGCCTGTGTGGCACTGTTATTTATGATCCTTTCTAGGATCATAAATAAACAAGTGTCAGACTACGTCACTGTGAGGAAAGATGCCCCTGGGTACATCTTGCCCGAGGCCCATTTTATATTTTGTCTCTCTCCCCATGAAGCTTCGTTGGTTTGTGTTTACCTTTGTCAAAACATACAAAGTCTAAAATTCCAACAAAGAAGCTTAAAAAAGAACGGAAACTGTTATTGTTTAGATAGACTTTTAAAAATGGCGGCCGTTGGGACAATACAAAAACAACTTTAGGGAAATATTTGACGGGCGCAGGTGGAGTTATGCTGCGAGTGGGTGGGCATCTTATCCCGGGAGGATTCCTCTACCATCTTACTTTGGACTTTTAGCTTTAAAAAAAAAAGACTAAGGCAAAGAAAAAGACCAGGATGTGTGTTTTCTTAAAAATACTACACTCGGAAGTCGGCTACTGTAATGTTTACAGTTAAGCTAGCTGGATCTCCAGGGACAACGCGCGCGTGCACACACCCACACGGGGCAGCGGAGAGGACCTGGGGAGAGACCGGGAAGTGTCTGTAGCAGGTGCACGGCTGCTGATGGTGTTACCCTTCCTCGGCTCCAAAATAAATTATTCTGGTGTTTTAACCTGCTGGGCGGAAACACACAGGAGGAGCCTCGACGCACTTTGAAGCACAGAGGGAGAAAAAGAGGGACTAGGGACTAGCCGGGACTGGGCTGACGGTGAGGCGGAGGTCGTGAAGTGAAAAAGACACGACGTGAGGCAGTTAGCTCGGCGGACGCTCCTGTTATCACTCGGAGGAGACACAGTCAGACCTTTCCAGCAGCTGCACAGAGTCTACTAGCTGCTGACTGTGTGTGCGGACGGCGGCAGGTGGGTTTGTAGAGGAGGTGGCATGCAGGTACCGACAGGGACTAGGATGCTCCAGCGTCCCGTCTGCTGTTGACGCTTCTTATCCTTCAGACCTAAAAGTGACCATGAAGGACACGGGGGAGTCAAAGGACCATCAACTAACTGTGAGTCCAAACCACAGATGTGCTTTTTAATTCCTAATATAACCCAAGCAGTGCTCCTTTTACCCTAACAAGCTGCTGTTAGTGGTCATTAACAATCAATCTGTTTTATAAACAGTTGGATCTGCTGCTAAATGTACACTTCACTTTATTAGGTACACCTGTGCGACCTAATGTAATTGTTATGCCAAAAAGTCTGCTTTTATTATGCCTGTCCAGTTTTTTGATATTACTGTATGTTTAATATTGAGGTCACAGTTAAAGATGTTTGTACATTATATTGAGAGGTTGTTCTAATTTGTTGCCCTCCATATTTACACCACCAACCACTGACACCTCAGTAAACATTATAAGCATCTTAAAAATACTTTGATGGCATAACAGTTGTATTGAATTGCATTAGATTGTACAGGTGTGCCTAAAAAAGTGGCCACTGAGTGTAATATTGTTTTTTTAAATTAACTAGATATTTCTTTTAATTTTTTTTTTTATTATTTAATTTAAAAATTGTCACCATTTATGGAGCAGATATCCAGACTTGCAAACTGATCTTGATGTTTAAAATGAGTGCAGATCCTGCTTAAGAATTCACACATACAGTAATTGACAAATTACCGACCACACTGCTCATCATCCTGCTCAGAACAAATCTAACAATCTCACATTCACATATTCAGTTACAGCTAAGTAAAGCTCATTTATTTTAGAGGATACAGTGTTCTTGTGTGCTATCAGTGTTATTTCTAACCTGTAATTGCAGTAAGTCACATATATCTGACTGAATTCTCTCTGTGTGCTGCAGGTTGCCCTGAGGATCCGACCCCTCAGCGATGCTGAGCAGGAGGAGGCGGCTACGATCGTGGCACACAGAGTGGACGACCAGGTGAGATAGCCGTCCTTTATTCTACCACTCTGTGTATGTGCATCAGTATCATCGATAACCGGTTCAACCCTGTGCATGTGACTGAGTGATAAGATCATTGTGTGTGCTTGTGTGGCAGAGGGTTGTTGTCTCCACCTCCCTCTGCAGAGATAAGGTGTTTGCAGGGACCTTGGTAACACCAGGAGCTCTTTTTAAAACCCAGCTTGCTTGTAAACCTCAAATGTCACATTTCATTTGTGAATGAACTCTGGATGACTCAGACCTGAAGCAGAGGCAGTGGCCTTTCTAAGAAATGATAGACAGATAGAGATCCTTTCATAGTCAGATGACTAAAAGCTTCACCATAGCGAATGCCTGGGTTTAATTGGGCATCAACAACTGCAGAGTCTTTGGGCATAAACATTTACACTGATGGTTGGTCATTCTCTTAGCTAGGGAGCAATCAATTATTTGTGTTTTTGGAATCATCCACAGTTATGTAGTACTTCACCAATTTATCTTTGCACTACTATAATATCATCAGACTCATGATGGATGGTTTAAAAAAGTATTCAAATCAGTGTAGCAGAGCCAAAGATCTATTTTGATTCCTCTTCATCATCATTAACTGCAATGCAATTCAATCATCAACAGACTGGTTGTTTTGTGCTTCTGGCAGCTAATAGAGTTCTGTAGTAGTGAGTCATCACTCCAAACACGGAGACTAATCTCCTCACTAGTCCGCCTTTACAACCTTGTTTTTTTTAAATTTGCAAACTGTTTTAACTAACTGAGGTAAGAATGCTAAATGATATTACAAGTTGGAAGTCATGGGACACTGGCGTACTTCATTTATAGCCTAAAAATAGCTTTTTACTTCTGGTGATTGTTTTTGGGCTTCAAAAATTATTATTCAAAAGCTTGTGGAAAAATCCCACTGGCTTTTTGTCTCGGGAACCAGGATGATGGTAACTTCTGAGTTTGCCTACAAAAATATATCATCCCTATGGCACTCTCAAGCCATTGTCATCTAATATGTTGACATATGAACATAGAAAAGCCTTGTGCCTGGTTCTCTTCACTCTACTCCCACTTGGCTCTTGTTGTTGTTTCGGGACCAATTCTGGGTGGCTTTCTGATTTATTTGGCAAGTAAACTGCTTTGACTGGAGCCATTATGTTAATTGTATTTTCCATTAGAGTAAACTGTGACAGGAATATTTATGAATCAACAGAATGTAGATTGGCTTTCATGGCAACTGTTGTGCACAACAGCAAAGAATCAGTGTTAAACATATTATCAAAATTAAACAGCTGCTCTTAGATTGTTGTCACACAACAGAGGTGTGGGTTTTTTCCTCAGAGGATTTTGTCCTTAGTGGTTGTTCACCGTGCAAAGTATGCGATGATGTTATCACCACGTGACCTCCCATGTGAAAATAACATACTGTATGAGCTCCATGAGGACCATATTTACCAGTAGTCCTTGCTTTTGAACTGGTCCCCTTTGGATGCTGTTTAGCAGTACCTCTGGTGAGTGTGTGATGATGATGATGAAGGTAGTGCAAATGATAATGAGTGTCATGACTGGGAACCTGCTGAGGTGTCTGTGCGCTTGGGGTGGGCTGACTGAGGGTAGTAGTGGGCATACTGGTTGCAGCTTCTGTGAATTAACCAAGACAAGTAACAGTATAGCAACAGCTGACACAGTGGGTCAGATTTGCCTCAGTCTCGACAAATGCAGGGAAATATTATTTATATGATTAGTAGTGTTTACTTGTGCTGCTGAAGGATTTTACTAGAGAACACACTTAATCCACAGCGCAAACATCTGACTTGTTTGTCTTCTCGGAAGTAATTCAGTTACACCAGGTCTTAAGGGTCGCATCAGCAGCTCTGTCTGCCTTGACATCGTTAAAATAGACTTGGATTATTGAGGCATGCAGATAGAAACGGTTCTGACACAGCCACTACAACAAGGCCTTTTTACTATCTCCAGCTGAACCACACCTCAGCTAAAATAAATTTTCAGTGTCGATTTTATTCCAGAATAGCACAGTTCATTTAGTGTTATGTCTGTGGAGAGAATTAGAAATAAGTTTGATATGCTGTATGGTCTCTGTGGGGTTGCATCATGTTTACTCAGGCACATTTGCGGCAGAGGATTAGTGGAGCTTATAATGAGAGAGGGAGATTGTGGGGATCTTACTGTATGTTTACCTATGTTTGGAGAAGGATTTGAGGAAGGGCTATTCTGACATGAATGGGGAGAGGATGTGGTGAAGTGGGTCACGACAACACTGGGATGAGATTATGGCACATGGTCTGTTTGTTTGCTGAATCTTGTCACATAAAGCTGTCACTGTAGCTCCAGCCATCGCACAAATACATGCAGATGTGAATGTACCAATAACATCTTCCGTCCCTTCCATATGCTATCCCTGCAAATACACACGACTATGAAGTGATTATCTTGTTTGCGAGACAGGGAGGCAGTCGATCAGTGACTATATATGCCTATGGGTAGTGCTCAGACAGATTAGCAGGGTGCTGGTGGCTGACTTGGCCAACTTGGTGGGAGTTCCCAGATCTGGCTGTCCTGGCAGAAGCCATACAACTAAAAGCTGGTTAAGCCTGTGGAGATGAGCTCAGTGGATGAGTTTTAGCTCAGGTTAAGCCTGCTGCCACCTGTTCCTTTTCTCCCTGGCTTACCCTCCCCACTCTAAAAGTGTCAGGAGATCCAGCCACTACCTTTCATGGACCACCTGTTGCCTATTGCACTCAATGGGCTTTCCTTGTCCTTGAGTGAGTAGCGCACAGGTCAGAGTTGTAGTAAGGTGGATGTATGAATGAGGTATTAAATGGCTCACCCCTATTTTCCAATGGATCCAGCTGCATTGCATTCTGCCTGCGTCACGATCGCCAGAGCTGATCGCTGCCAGTCTAGTCAATGGTTGTGTTCCCATTGACGAGTCTGGCTGCGTTCCAGCTCCGATCCTACTTTCTCTCCCTGCTCCACTATAATTTGCTATGCTCCACCAAGCTCTGGCCAGCTCTTCAGATATTTGTTGTTATGAAATTATAGTAAATGAGAATGCAGAAAAATGTATTGATCAATCAGAAATAATTAAAAAATCTCTGATTGGTTAGAGAGGTCAATCCTGCTCAAAACCTTTGAGAACCTAATATCTCTGCACTGCTACTAGTGCTGTTCAACGAGTCTGGGTTAGAGGAGGCTTCGACAGCACCTCTCCACATAAAAACAAGTTTTGCAGCAGATTTCTACAACAAAAATATTTGAAAAACATTACACACTTTAGCTTTAAATCAGTGCAATAATCAAGCATGTTTGAAAATGTGTTAATCCACATGCAGATCTTGTCAGTAGAAGTGAGAGCTTGCATCCTGCAGGGTGTCTTACTTAGCCCTTAAACATTTGAAGCATGTCTTCGACAGGGCTGGCCTGTCAGCAGCACACAGTGGGGAATGCTTTATAGTGAGGCCTCATCTCCATGGAGACGACGAGACAAGGTCAGGGCCATTGTTTGTTTTGGTTTTTTTTATTCCTGTTCCTCAGTAGTATGGTCCTCTATATAGGAGAACAAGCAGAACAGCAGAGGCCACAACAACTAGGGGTTTTATTAGTCACTTTCTTTTTTCACAGGTGAATTGACTGTAATAAATCAATTCTTTTGGTGCAACATTTGCTCGGCTCAATCATTGACAGGTTTGCAACCTGGTGTGGACTGTAAGCACAGGAGCAATAAATATGGATGGGGGCATTTTATTGCCATCTTGTCAGTGAGAATCCTCTATCCCACCATGAATTCATCCATGTGTTTACCTGACCGAGAAAACACCAGTGCCAGGTGCTCCAGTCTGATCCCTGAGAGGGATGTTGTCAGCCAGTAGGTAAACAGAAATGGGCCATTTTGCTTCCCAGTTTCTCTGCAAAAATCAAGTCCTTTAAAATAATAAGCAGCATTGAGCCTGGTCCAAGCACAAGCTTAATTGATTACAGCATGTACATGAATTGGCAAATTTTCTACCTTTGTGGAGCACAAAGCGCCTGACTTCAAGTCCTCGGTGTAGAATTTCCGCCAACCTCTACACAGGCCTGTTAGTGAAAGGAGATTCAAATTGCTTTTACCTTAGAGGCTGCGCAGTAGTTAGCCCGCTCAGCAAAAGCAGCTCTCCCTGGAAAACAAACTGCTGTCAATGGGAAAGGCATTGCACTGCAAACAAAATCTATTTTGGGATGTGGAAGTACATTTTCGACCAATTCCAAGCAGCACTGTACTTAGTGGCAGTAAAAATATTGTTAAATTGTGAAATGTTCAGGTAACCATCCAGACACTGATCAAAACCAGGCTGGAGGACTTATCTTGAACTGTACAGTTTCTTTGTGCAATCACAGCTAACTTGATTTCATTTAGAGAAAGCTTACTGCTGACCTGTGAGTGAAGGAGAAGGAGTGAAATCTGCATAAAAACAACATAGTTCCCTTGCTGTTTTAATGTTTCCCCACCTGCTGTGGATGGAAATGTTCTTTCCAAAACAGTTCATTGCCATAGTTGTCTTGTTAAAAGTCTGGGGAAAACATGAAAATGGGCATGCTTTGTCCATGCACAGTAGAGTGTTTGAATAGCTTCGTGTTTGGACAAGAGAGGGAAAGGAACTACAAATAGCCTTGTCCTTTTTAGCTCCGACGATTTAACCGCCACACACAGAGACAGAGCCAGTAACGGGACCTGAACCTAAAATGGCAACAGTAGCACAGTAGAGAAAAAGAGAAATGAAGAAGAAACAGAGATGGGTTTATTTTGGTTTGCACATAGAAGGTAGTCCTCACAAGGGAAGGTTAATATGTCAACACAAAGAAACTGACCCTGAGAAGTGGATAATATTTGCTTTCCTCGTGCCCTCTGACTCCACATCTCCTTCTGACACTCTCTCTGATTGCCCTGAACTCTGCCCCTCTCTTGAGCCTCTTTTACAACAAGGGTCCCTGTGGGTAGATCT